GTAAGTACATGAGACACCTTTCCCCCTCGACCACCGACGTCTGGTCTCTGTCTTGGGGTTTAGTGAAGCGTCGACCGTGCACAGGTGATTGTTTATTTCAAAGTTCACTGTTTGATGGTGTAAATCAATATCGTGGGAGAGATTTATCCCAGCAGAAATTTATAACAGACACAGAGATCGTGTTATAATTTACGCACCAGTCCATGGATAGTATTACGATCACCGTAAGTTAACCGGAATGTCAAAAATATAGTGATATGGTGTTATACTCGCTTCTTAATACTGGCTACGATATGTTACAAGCACTCGGGGAAACTAGACATATTAAATCATCAAGGGATTCCGTAAAAAAAATATGATAATGTTTTAAATGTGTCATGAGTTCGAAGGACGGTGCGGATAAACAACCTACTTTCCCTTTCAGCTGTTGAGACTGGGTTTCAAAAAACCGACTGACGTGGTACTTTACGCAATTTGTAATCGTAAGTGTGTATGCAACAGTGATTCAGTGATAGTTAGCGATCCCGAGAGTGTGTGATGTTGCACTGTGCTAGCTAAGGGGGAGGTTAACAAGGCGCTGCCGTATACTGCTGTCTCGAGCTGTGGTGTGGTATTTAGTCAAGATGATGATGATGAATGCCTCGCGCTTTTCAAAGGAGCCACTTGTAGGCTAATGTTTAAGAGGCGAAATGAGCGAGGTGCCGGCCAGGATATGCGTCAACGTTATTGATTTCGAGCAGGAACGTTCGTTGTAAAGGAAACGTTTGGGTGAAATTAATGTGACAGGTGAACTCACGGGGTCCTTTATGCTACTAACAACCGTGATGATTTATTTCGCCTCGTGTTGATAGACTTAAATAGACTTAAATAGACTTCAAGAAAGGATATGTTAAAACGTGAACGTTATCCCCTTTTTTGTAGCGCAGAAGAGAAGACAAGTTGAGGTACTGTCATTTTAGTTTAGTTTAGTTTAGTTTCGTTACAAGATGTTCTACCATTGTACCGAGAGCGAGAAACTACTTCGTAATATTCCTTCAAGACTTTCATTTATCTTTATAACGTCATGGAAGTGTTAGGGTGACCACTTCATTATTTACGATCATAAAAGGGGTATGTGTGTGGCCGTACTGTACCATACCATATTCTGTACTGTACTGTAGTCTATTATGGATGATGATAGCATTCTGACAAACATGATACATCGATTTATTCATTATTATTTTTCGTAATTCCAATGCACCGTGTGGAGTTTTAATTGGCTATGTTGTGTGTCAGTGTGCATAAAAGTAAATATATTTTCCCCAGCCTCATTGATTTTAACCCCAACAGGAAGCGGTGTGATTTTTCTAAATTCGCTTTTCTTCGTTAATGCCTCTTCTCCTCCTCCTCCTCTTCCTCCTTTATTCTTCTGTTTCATCTCCTTCATTTTTTTATGTGTGTTCTAGTCTTCATCATCTCCTTCTTCTTCCTCGCCTTTTTCTTCTACTTCTTCTTCTTCTTCCTCCTCCTCCTCCTCCTCCTCCTCCTCCTCCTCCTCCTCCCTCTTCTTTATCTTTTTCTTTTCCTCCTCCACCTCCTCCTCCTCCTTCTTCTTCTTCTATTTTGTTTTTATTTTCCTTTTCCGTGTCATTTGCTTGTTTTTAATTTACATAGTTGTTTATTTATTTATCTATTTATTTCGTTATTTATTTATTTATTTATTTGCTTCGCTCGTTTTCCCTTTATTTATTACTCATTTCTATATGCACTATATTTATCCAGTTATTTGTGTCTATTGATTTTCTTGTTATTCGTGATTGTCATTTGCGTCTTTCAATTATTATCAATTTGTCTAATTTATTGTCATTTTTTTGTTTCCTTATTTTTTTCTATTATATTTTGCGTTATTGATGTTTATTTATTTATGTTTAAAGTTATCTGTTTTGTTTTGTTTTTAGGTTCGTTATTTATGTGTGTTTCATTCTCTGAATTCTTTGTTATATTCCGTTTGTATTTATTGATTTTTAAAAACCTGTTTACTGTGGTACAATATGTTATATTTTATGACAGATATTAAGTTCTGCGTGTGTGTGTGTGTGCATGTGTGTGTGTGTGTGTGTGTGTGTGTGTGTGTGTGTGTGTGTGTGTGTGTGTGTGTGTGTGTGTGTGTGTGTGTGTGTGTGTGTGTGTGTGTGTGTACGTGCGCGCGCGTTAGTATATGTATGAATGACTGTAAATGTGTGTGTATATACGCATATATGTACATAAACATTCATACGTACACACATTTATCTACGAATGTGTATGCATCCATGTATAGCTTTACTCACATACGCACATACGCATATACATTTGTATGCGCGTATGCATGTGTCTGCCTTTGCACGTGGCTCCCTGCGGGTCTTGGCGCACTGGTCAGGTTACATTAAAATATGCTATATTACTACGATGTAATTCTGAGTCACTGAGACCATGCTGTCCTGTGATGCTATGCTGCAGGGAGTGTCATAGCATTCTTCGTCGTTGTTCTGTTGTGAGGAGAACTATAATCTATTTGTGTTATGATTTAATTGTTCTCGGGTGTTGTTCCGTCACTGTGTTCGTCACGTCAATATATTTTTTGTCTTCTGTTAAACCTTATTTTCCCATAATTTTTTTTTCTGTTAAAACCAAGTAAGATTCTTTTACGCTCCTAATCCCCCCATAGCTTTATAACAACTCTAAACCCACTACAGCTTCCTTTTGATTAAAACGCTTCTACACACTTAATTCCTCACAACGTCATTTAGTATCATACTCTTAAACGCCTAATTAATCACAACCTCCCCTTAAATAACCATTAAATACCATCCCTTTCTACCTTTCTACAACCTCCTTTCATCTAAAACTACAATAGACGTACAATACACGTAACTAACCCTTTAACATAAAAAACTACCTATAACTTCCTTTCATCTAAAATCTACAATCAAATTCCTCTATAACCCCATTTTAATAATAATAATAAAAAAAAAAAAAAAATCAAATACGCTTTTAACCCCTTTAGCTACTTTTAATCCTTTATAAATTCTCCTTTAACAATCTCTCCTATGACACCGCCCTTCCCTTTTATAATTTCGTATCATTCAAAATAATTAAGCTTAATCTCTCACAACGACCCTCCCCCCCCTTACCACCAGATTCAGCTTTCTAACAACCTTTCAATAACAATAACAATAACCCCTTTCAATAACCCTCACGAACAGCACTTATTTACTTTCTCATTATAACCTCTCTATAACATCCTTATCGTCCGAGGTAAACGCAACCTTCTTTCCCCTCCCCCCCCCCCCATTTAACAACCCTTATGGCAATCCTTCCTTGGCCACATACACGTACACACACACGCATACGCACACACGCACACACACACGCACACGTACACACAGACACACACACACACACACACACACACACACACACACACACACAGATTTGAGGTGGTTGTTTGGTGTTTTTTTGTGTTTATTTTTTGTTTAGTTTTTTGTGTGTGGGAGTGTTTTTTTTTTTTTTTTTTTTTTTTTTTTAGATTTGAGGTGGTTGTTTGGTGTTTTTTTTTTTTTGTTTAGTTTTTTGTGTGTGGGAGTGTTTTTTTTTTTTTTTTTTTTTAGATTTGAGGTGGTTGTTTTGTGTGTGTTTTTTTTCTTTCTTTTTTGTGTGGGTGTTCCTTTGTTTTTATTTTATTTATTCATTTATTTTTTCTTGGGGGGGGGGCAAGGTGTATATAGATTATGATTTTTTATTTATTAAGTTTATGATCGTTACTATCGTTATTATTATTATTATTATTATTATTATTATTATTATTATTATTATTATTATTATTATTGTTATTATCATTATTATTATTTCTATTATTATTATCATTATTATTATTATTGTTATTATAATTATCATTATTAATATTATCATTATCATTCTTCTTATTATTATCATTATTCGCTTTTTATTTATTTTTAAAATTTATATCATGTTTATTCTTCTTCTATGATTTTTATTTCTTCATTTTTTCTGGAGAGACGATATAAGATTTCTTTCTTTCTTTCTTTCTTTCTCTTATTCTTCTTTTCGTGGTGCGAGGATTAGGGGAGAGGGGGGGAGGGGAGTAGTGACAAGATCCCGGTGAGAGTTTATATTAAGAGTGATTTATGCGGCGGCATAGACGGAGGGAAAAGTTCAGAATGACATTGAGACGAAATATAGTTCATCATTCTCAAATTATCTTTCTTCTTTCTCTCTCTGTCGTTCTCATTCTCGCTCTCGCTCTCGTTCTCGTTCTCTCTCTCTCTCTCTCTCTCTCTCTCTCTCTCTCTCTCTCTCTCTCTCTCTCTCTCTCTCTCTCTCTCTCTCTTGTTTTTTTCTTTTTTATTGTCTGTCTGTCTCTTTTTCTTTCACTGTCTGTCTGTTTCTCCCTCTCTCTTTCTCTCTCTCTCTCTCTCTCTCTCTCTCTCTCTCTCTCTCTCTCTCTCTCTCTCTCTCTCCCTCCCTCCCTCCCTCCCTCCCTCCCTCCCTAACTCTCCCTCCCTCCCTAACTTTCCCTCCCTCTCTCTTCCTCCCTTTCTCTTCCTCCCTTTCTCCCTTCCTACGTAAATCTCTCTCTAAAAAATTGACAACAACCTGCCTAATTATCCCCCGGATCGCTGTTTATTGGTTAACATTATGATCACAATTTTTTATTTATTTATAAGGATCTGTCTAATTATAACGTTAAGCTTCGAACAACTGCAATTATTGGTCGTCATGCAATATTACTGTAGACGGGTATGATCTTAAAGACGTGTGAATATTAAATGAATAAAAAAATAAGAAATGGAAACAAAATAATAATAATGATAATAATAATAATGATAATGATGATAATGATAATAATGATAATGTTAATAAAAATGGTAGTAATAATAATAGTAGTAATAATAACAACAATGATAATAATAATAATAATAATAATGATAATAATAATTACAATAATAATAATAATGATA